CTTTTTTTTTTTAGAAGTGTTGGGCACTCTAAAGTCTTTTTTTAGGAGCATTAGGTATCTTGAAATTTTATTAAAATAAAATTTAATAAATATTGTTAAAATATTAAATATTTTCATATTTAATAATTTAAATATTATTTTTTTTATAAATATTCATTCAAAATTTATAAGTTAACTTTGAAACATTAAGAGTCTATTTAGTTCGAGGGGAGGTGAGAAAAGAGGAGGGAAGGGAGGGGGAGGAGGGGAGGGGAGCTCCCCCTCAATTTGGAGGGGAGGCTTTGGAGGGGAGGAGAGGAAAAATTTTAAAATTTTTTCCTCCCCTCCTAATAACCAAAGGAGGGGAGGGGAGGGGCTCCCCTCCCCCCAACTGAACAGGGCCTAACAATTTAAACTAGCATTTTATAAATTTATAGATAATTTTTTATTTTTTATGTATCGATCTTTGATCTTTTCTTTGAAGCAGTGCCCAAATCGTTGCCTTTTGCGTATTTTAGAACTTATTTATATTTTTAATATTGTCTAAGTTTCTTAAATTTTTTGATCATTTTTTATAATTTTTTAGTTAACTAACGATATTTCTCCAACATATTACACTATCTAAATTTAATATTCTTTATAATTGCAATGTTAGAAGTAAAATAAGAAACATGACAAATCAGGACCAACAGTATGAGAACAAAAATGTTAATTTGAAAGATATCGCTTATTATAATGCATTACAAAAAAAGTTACCTAATAAGAGAAAAATGAAGAGATGAGAAGAAAAAAAATCCCTTTGTTAATTTGAAAATTCATTCCTTACAAAATTGCAACATATAAAAAATTATTAAATTGGGTAGTGTAATATTTTAATAATATTTATTAAATTTTATTTTAACAAGATTTCATGATACCCAGCGCTCTTAGAAAAAGAATTTGGGTGCGTAGCGCTCCTAGAAAAAGAGTTTAAGGGTAAATTAACATCAAAAATATGGTTAAAGTCTTATATGTCACTATGTGTGGGCCTTACACACGTGCCAAGTTAGCAAAAAATGGAAAACTTAATTGTTGACTAACAAAAAGGGTTTTTTTCTCTTCAAAAAAATAGTCGGAGGTAAAATAGTCTCACTTAAAATATAGGGTGCTTAATGCTCCTAAAAAATAAGTATAGTAACAAAATTGGACCTTAACTCTAATTTCAATGTACATTTAGTTAAATTACAAAGAATAAATATAAGATAAGGGTATCCATCCATAATTATTTGCTTTCCCCCTTCGTGGACTCTGTAGTGGAACTAAGTAGAATAAAGTATTATTAAATTAACCCCCCCACCCAAAAGTACTTTCCTTGATAAAGTGAAAGATGGAAGAGATCCAAATCATGTTTAGTATTTTACTAATGTTTGATAGAAAAGTATTCTCCACCCATTTTAGTAATTGTTATGTTGCTCAAGGATATGATTAGTTTGAGAAGAGGAGAGGAGAATATTTTTACATTATCTTGTTTGATTTTGTTGGAGAGGAGATGAGGAAAGAAGCTTTTAATAATTCTTTATTTAGTTCAAGAGGGAAGAGAATGGAGGGTAATAATCAACTTACTTTCATACCTTTACATAATTTTTTTAAATCTATTTTATTTATAAACACTAATTGCATCATTTCTAAAAAATTACTCTAATCTTAATATATTTTTTATACATGTATTAAAAAGTTGATACATGTTTTTATTCAAGAAATTGCCACCTTCAATATGGCCTAGCTACTGCATATCACCACCATGCCATTCATGTCTGATGGCTTCGGGGCTTCGGACCTAGCTCAAAATTTACATTTGCCACTAGTCCTACATCCTTGTATTAGAGCAATATATAAGCAATGGACATTTTTTTTTAATGAAGATATATCCTTAATCAAAAGTGATTACAAGCAAGTTAAGTTTGTCAAATAATCTTCTTTCATCATCTACCATCTTAATACAGTAAGGTGGGAGTTGATCAAAAGTAGTATAACATATAAAATCATTTTGAGCTTGGGTGGCCAGTAGATGGGCACAAGTGTTGGCCTCCTTAAATGTGAAATTCAAATGAATGTTTCAATCCTAATAGAAATAAATTTTAGTCGAGTTGTTAATTTCTCTAAATGAATGATGAGCAATATCATTTCCAGTGATCAAGTTGATCGCTTTAACACAATCTGTATAAACTTGTACATTGCTAAAATTCCTTTCCTAACATATATAAAGATCATAAATAATACCAATTACTTTAGTAATAGCAGAGTTGTAATTGCCTATATTCAAAAGCCACATACCTAATTAGCATTATGATTTCTGACAACACCTCCACACTTACCAACTCCATCTTTATATGATCCATCAACATCAAGTCTCACTTTGTTACAAAGTGGTCTTACCCAAATATCATAAAAACGATTAGAATGTCTTTGCACCATGGAGGATGTCCTAAGGATATGGAGGTTACTTTTGACCTTGTAGAGCAATTTCTATGCTAGTACTTTTTGCCTCTTCATTTGAAAAAGCTTGTTTGCATTTAGAACACCATATTTCCCAATAAATATTTCAGCATGGGGGTGGTCTCTCAACAAGTGAATAGCATCTTCTTTTCCTCTGCATCCCAAATGAAGAGTGATAGAGAAAATGAATAGGGTATGACTTCTTATCGAAGAAAGAGGAGGAGACATAGAAGGAGGAAGTAGTGGAGGAAAGAGAGATAAGAGAATGATGAAAGAGGCTATGAACTTTTTTTTAATTATTGGCAGTCACGAAATACATCAAAATTAATGAGGGTAGATTAATCAACAAATTTGGCTTTCTTCTAAAAAACTCCAATTTAGAGGGAATCAAACCCCTCTCCTCCCTACCAAAACCCCACAACCAAATACACTATAAATGTGAGCGGACTTGATAGTTGAGTTGACATAAAAAATCTCACATAAGATGAAATTATATTTAATAATTAATATATAATAAAGAAGAATGACTTACAAACTTAAACATTGAAATTTTGAGTTAATATGTAATGTTTTCCATTGCTTTTGTTATTTCCTTTCTCTCCCCCTATCGTCGAGTAAAAATAACCTTTAATTTTAAACAATGTATAAAAAATCTTTGTCTTTATTTAATTGAAAGCAAAACACTTTAAGTAAGTATATAAGTTTTTCCAATTTGAAAATATTAAAACAACCAAAGGGTATGTCGGTAAAACCATAAAAAATGCTTATATTAATTTTTCATACTCAAAATAAGGGGGAGGATAGCAAAATCTCTCCCCTTCCTTTCCCTTCTCTTTGTTTTCCCCCTCAAAGCAAACAATATGTATCAATCTGATAGGCTTTTAGGACCTTCAATGTTGGTACCCATAAACTAAAGTCTAGCTGCTTTCATTAATTACCGCATATAGTATAGGTAATGTTCCTTTTATTATTTCAGGTATGCAAATTCTAGACAAGGAGGATAGTTTAAAGTTTAAACTTTCAAGAGAAGATATCCTTTATTGCCCATGCTCTTGAAGATGGAAAGAAGGAAAAACAAAAGGAGGAAAAAGGTGTTTCGTAACTCTTGTATAATATTATATATGTTCCAGGTTCAGCACTAAAGTTTCAAAGAACTTAAGAAAAAGAATATAATCCATTGTAAATTTGAAATTGACAGGCAAAAGACTTCACATTGTCTTGCATACAAAATAAAAAATCAACGCAAAAAAATTATATAGATGCGATTGTTGCAAACATAGAAAGCTTCATGTGTCGGAAGTAAGAAATGAAATTATATTTGAGTTGAGTGGCAAAGAAATGCAGTTCTTCCAAACAAATGTAGAGGATTGAAGTTTTGAACGACATGTACTGAAAATATCATGTTTTAAAAAATTATGTTTAATTAATTAGACCCGGCAAATCTAAAATCTACCTAATTCAATACTATAAAATCCCCGTGGGTGAAACTTAAAACAAGTTACATTTAAAATAAGTTAAATTATACTAACATGCGATTGGTTCTAGCAAGTAAAAAAGGTTATAATTATTTAAGTATAAATTTTTGAGTTTGAATTTGTGTGCATACAAAAATCCTTTTTAAAAAAACTACCTCCAATTGAGTTCAGCAATGCTCGAATTTGATTCAATTAAATAGTCAATAAAAAAATAAATCACATTATCTAGCTACTATACACTTGGTAAAAAAAAAAAATTGAGAGTTGGGTCCAATAATTTCCTAAAGCCATAATATGTTTCTAGGTCTAAAAACTATTTATAAATGTAATTACAAATTGTTTATCAATGAAATTTTTTTATCAAAATAGCACCTTAACCCATATCTTTGTAAGTCATTGAACAAATTAATCCTTACTATATATGGACTAACCTTCACTGGTATTGCCTATTATTATATATTTGATTGTATCAATTGATGATTGAAGATTATACAGTGACAATTCATGTGGGGAGATCCGTGACAATATGTGAAAGGGGATGCGCTGTGAAAATAAAAGGACACATGCTTGAAACTGAAAAAAGGAAGCACTGGAAAGGGCAGCTAGACGCCAAATTCCAACCAGAAATATTCCTCCAAATCCTTTCACGAGCACATCCACTTTCTGGCCACCATTACTTGTCTTCATCTTTAACTTTGAGTATGTATCCACTTTACCCTAACCCTCCATTTCTTTTTCTGCACATTTCTTAAACACAGTCATTATCATACACGAGTAACATATTAGGTTATTAATGTTAGTCATCTAATTAGTTTTAAAACATAAATTGACCATCAAATTAATTTGGTAAAAATTTTTCAATTAAATTATTACTTACACAAGAATTGAGAGTTAAATTCCTAACTATTTACTTAAGTGACAAGATTCATTATCCCACTATATTGGGTATATACTTGTTTTCTGAGATACGAGGGAATCCAATGACCACGTTGCCACTTTACACTGTAGAGAAATCCCTCGTGATCTCAAATCCTGCGATTCACGGGTCCGAAACTTGTGGCTCTGCTTTCTTCCACATTCATATTTTTACCTTTTAAATACCCAAGACAATGGAACTATATTCAAGAGCCATTATTCTTCATCATCATCGCAAAGTAAAGAAGCTGAACAAGACGAGGATGAGGGTTAACACGGCGGCGCTAGTGGTGGTGATAGTGGTGGCGGTGATGTTTGTGGGAGGGTCGAGAGGGTTGAGTCTGTGTAACCTGAACGAGGAAGGAATAGCAGCCTGCAAGCCATCAGTGAGTGAGCCAAATCCAGTGGATCCATCCACAGAGTGTTGTAAAGCTCTCTCAGGGGCAGACTTGGAATGTCTCTGCTCTTACAAGAACTCATTTCAGTTACCACTTCTTGGCATTGATCCCAATCTTGCCCTTGCTCTTCCTGCTAAGTGCAACCTCACTCTTCCTTCCGATTGCTAATAATTAATTAACTCTTGATCCAAAGCACCTGGTCGTCTAAGTGTGTTTGTGAGTGTATGTATGTTTGTGTTGTGATGATTTATCATGTTTTCTAAGATCTTGGTGTAAGTTTAAGGTTTGTGTTCCGACATCATTAATGGCCACTGCGTCTGCTTTATCATTACTCAAAAATGCCATGAGTTCTTTATTAATGTGGCTGAACAGTGGTAGTAATTGAGTGGTCGGCCAACGCTGAGGAAACATGTGGCAACAACCAGGTCTCTTGGGCAAAATAGCATGGGTAAAAAAAAGTACAAGGCTACGACAAAATAAAACCAAAGTCAACTTTGTTTTAAGAGATCTCTTCATCTAAGTGGCAGATCATTGATTAGGATCCTAAGTTCGAGATTGTCTTGTTATGTCTGAAGAATACAAGTTAGTTAGACATGTATATTAGCCTTTTATAGAGAGGTGATCAAGTCGATGATTTGTTTGTAAGAGAGAATAGGAAATTTGTCTAATACTTTAAGAATGGGATTTTATCATGTTCAATCCCATTAACCAATTTGGCATAATTAAGATTATATATTCTTTTTAAAAATTATATATAAATCCAAGGGACACTAGGATTTAACAATACAAGAGGTTGGTGGTTGGAATTACATATGTATATGTATTACAAAAATTTTAATAAATTTTGAAGTGAAATATCTAACATTATATAATATTTAAAAAAAAAATTAGCTTTAGGGCCGCCTACTGGCCCCCCTCCCTCCACCTTCATATAAATGATGAGTTTCTCTCTTCTGCTTTTTTTTTTTTACTGCAAATTTAAACTTTTTAAATTAAACTTTTATTTTTAAAAATTTTTAAATTTAATTTAACAGTTCAGATTTATAATAATCTCTCCTTTACTCTTCTTTGCAAAGGAGAAAATTCAACTCCCCATATAAACCAATACGTATGATATGTTATGTGCAAGTTGCACCATTAAATAACTGATAAACCAATAATGTGTGTGTGTATAAAACTTTATGTATTTGCCATACTAGGCCTTTGGTATAAGGATAAACTTGGAAAATGAGCTAATAACTAATCATAGCCTTTAAAAATCATTTCCTTTTTTATTATGGACATTTCATCCCCAAGTAAATTGTGAAAGGTGAGATATTCATAGTGCGCATTAATGTAAATGAGGTTGAGACTAGTCATCATTAGTTTAGGCTGTCAAATTTGTTAAGGCATCCTATAAAATAATTTAGATTTAGTGAGTGACTGAATCTATTCAATGAATATTTTAATTATAGTTATAAATAAATTTTACTAACATTTAAAAATTATTAAAATATATTTTTTAAAAAAAATTAAAACATTCCTCATGATTAATACACTCCTTGCATATGAGATTCTATATTTTGTAAGTATTATAGGACAAAATTTTTTAATACATCCATTCAATTAAATATATTGATTGTTATAATTATACTATGCCAGATATTGATTGATTGAATGAGTGTACTCCGCCAACATTTCTAGACTTTTAATTGTCATCAAGTGAATAATTAAATTTCTTTTAATTTAAATTTACTTCCAACATTTGCCATATAATGTATAATATTCTTTTTCTGTCCTAATTTATAAAATACTTTTACAAGTGATTTGGTGTCCTAAAATATAGAATATTTTAATAAAAAAATTTAATTATACCCATTTCAATATTACCATTCCCACCTTATTATATTTTCTCTTAATATTTCACAAATAAAGTTCTATTAAATGAAGGATATTTTAAAAATTTATATTATTATTTTTAAAAGTAAATTATAAAATATATTTAATAAATTTTATTGATATATGTAATTTTATCAAAATATGTCTTGTAAATTGACATTGAGGAACTATGTTTTTTTTTTTTTTTTGAGAAATGAGTTATTTTGTACCAAAGTTGTCTGCATGCATGTTAGACAACTCATGACAATATGATTCTCAGGGACCACACTTCTTATTGCTTCATCATGTCGTCTTTGAGTTGGTGAAATTTTCAACTGAAATCCTCAATGATGTTCAACAAAATGTTTCATTCCTTTTGATATCAAATTAAAGCAGACAAAATTCTTGGATCCTCAGATCTTTATAATTCAATTGCCTAAAACAATAAAATTTGAAATATCAAGTTCCACAGTGAATAAAAGAATATTATAAGTGATTACCCTAGCTACAATTTAAAAAAAAAACAAAAATAAGATATTTGAAGAGGTTAATTAACATTGGGGAAGATCAGACGGTGGGTGTGGCAGCTTATGATGGCGTCCATTTCCATTTTGAACAATCCAAGCCATTTTCAAGCCCCAACTTGTATGCACCTCAAGGTGACAGTGCATGAACCACACCCCTACAAGCAAAAAACAACACCACCTAATTAATAAATAATATATATTAATTTTATGATAATTTCAAATTAATCCTATGTACTAATTAATTGCATTATACATACTCCCTCCGTACCTAAATGTAAAAGTTAGATAACTGATTTAATTATACTCTCTCTAATCCTATATATAACTCATCTATTAAAAGAATTTTGTGGTCCTAAATATAAGTTATACTGCAAAAATTTGTATAGCATTAGTTAATATTGATTTATTCCAAATATGCTCTTTTCTTAAATTTCAATGAGGAGAAAAATAATGTTTGTTTTTAAAATGTATGGCATTTATTAGCCATGAAAATGAAAATCAAAGTAAGTTTTAGACAATCTCAACTAACTTTTAGTTTTAGTTCTTGTGAGTTAGTTATATCTAACTTACAAAAAGGACAAGGGATCCAGCAGAGATTAAGAAAATCAGTCAAGTTAGTTATTTGTAAAATAAATTGGGTTAGTTTCTTTAAAATATCTCTTTCAATCATTTGCATTAACACGTGAATTAATAGGCATGGTTTAAAAAGAATGTTATAAATTTATGAGATAAATTTTCTGGTCTTACAATGTTTTTATAAAAAAGTTTAAGTAAATTAGGTCCTCATTAGGATTAAAATATGCCCCCTGCTTAAAAAACACTTATATAAATATTTAATATTTAAGTAAAGTTCTCACATCATCGACAAGATTTAAACTGGAAGATTTTTGAATTATGAACCTAATATTTACCAGTGGAACTAATTAAATTTTTATTGATTGTGGTCTAAACAAGCGACACAACAAGCTAGGATTAAAGTGAGTGGCATATATTTTTCAGTTGTTGGACTAACCTGGATTGTCTGCGAGGAAACGAAGCGCCACCCACCCACCAGATGGTACAGCTACAGTGTTCCTCTCAGCTGGATCAACCACGTTGAACTTCAAAGGGTCTTTTTTAGAGTCAAAATTTCCAATACCTTGACCCACCACAAAGAAGTTAAATCCGTGAAGGTGAAGTGGATGGCTCTCTGCACCAATAATGCTCGTATCCTGAAGAACAAGCTCCACGCTCGTGTTATAAGGCAACATCACCACTTTAGTCCCACTGTTCACCACAATATTGCTCGGTGGGGTCCCAGTATAGTTGAATTTGAAAGGTGGGTTCGCCGGAAAATCAGTTGTATATACTCCTTTTGATTTGTTGAAGAAATGGGCTTGAAGTAAAGCCACGTTTGGCTGCACGAAGGAGACATTGTTAATGGAAGCTGCGACTCTTGTGTTGTTTGGTCCTTGGCACGTTTGGTTCTGTGAGCACTTGATAATCCCTAAGCCTACAGTGAAGAAGAAGTGTCTGTCAACAGATTTTGGAACTTTTGCTGGGAATTTTGCATTGGCTAAGCTTCGAATCTTGTTGTTGAAGTTCATTGAAAACGCCGAGTCATTGAACTTTGGAAGCGATGGTTTTAGAAGAGGAAGTTTTTTGTTGTTTAGGTTAGCGTTTGGTGGTGGTGGTGGTGAGTTTTTCTTGTAATGGAGAATTCCGGCGGTGGTGGTGTTATCGAGGTGGCCGGACCGGTGGCGTAGGGTCTAGCGGCAATGAGGAAGGTGGCGTTTGGTGGGTTAGGCTTTGTTTTGAGAAGGACGTTCATCGTTTGGCCAGGTGTGATGAGGACAACGTTTGTTTTGAAAGGTTTAACGTAAACAGCATCAGCTTCTACGACAGTGAATGTGTGGTTGGCAATGCTAAAGAAAGCTCATCATTGAGTGCTGCATTGATCAGACGAAGCAGATAGGTTTTTCCTGGTTTCACGTTAAGCTTGAATGTATGTGCATGAAGAGCAATAATTCATATATATATATATATATGTAGAAAGACAAGTTCTCTTGAAGTAATTACAGTTGAAATTTTTATCATCCATGTGAGAATTAATCACATGACATTGATACCTTTAGAAGAGCAGTTGTAGAGAGGACCAGGAAGGCCATTAATGGTGTAAAGCATCAGAGAGATTGGGTGCTGAACCTGTTTGCATTGCCTGATTGATAACAGCTTCTGTATCTGCTTTCCACCACTCTCCTGCAATTTCATGTAATAACATCCATGTCAAAGTAACTGAGTAGCGAGAGAAGTTAACTTATCAAATCAATATATGTGTACAGGTTTCATAATATATCAGTATGTTTTCAATCTTTAAATTTTAAAATTGATTTCATCTCAAGGATCGTGTGTGTGTGTGTGTGATACTTAATAGCGATTTGAGATGTATAATCTATGATATTATAATAGAAACTCAAATCATCTGTTGCATCGCAGAGAATTGGCTTTTTATTATACAGATCATCATTGCTTACCAAATGTGAGGGTTTGTTCTTTGAAGGGTTGGGGAAATGGATAAGGAACGTGCTTGCTGGGGAGGATGATGATGGGACCATAAAGAGTTGCTCTTAGCCATGAAATGTGAGCATGCCACCATAATGTGCCTCTTTGACCACTAACTGTGAAGTTATAAACATAAGATTGGCCACTTAAAATTGGACATTGAGTAATATAAGCAGGTCCATCTGCCCAACCACTTCTCAATTGTCTCACACCATGCCTGCAAATTTATGTCATCATCATAACAATTTTAACACTTTTCTCATAAGAAAGTTTTTTTCTTATTGTTTTGGTAAGTCTAAAGAGTAGATTCTTCGATAGCAAATAATAAATCCCTCAAGACATTGAAAGTAATGGGTAAATCTCTTCCAACTAAATT